AAAAGGGATTGTGGGTTTTGTTGCGGCGCTGTGCCCACTGACCCACCTGCAAGAGTAGTGGTAGTAGGCCATTGGGTGTCCCCATAGGCATACTTCATCATGGCAGTACCGAAGAGAGCCAGCCCCAGTCCAGACACTGTGAGGCCATGCTTGCGTCTGAACTGCTGGAATGCCCCCCACTGACCAACGGAGAAGCGGATCAATTCAGTGCCACAGCCAACTGCAGCATTTGGGTTCTAAACAGCCACGGGGTAACTTAATGAGATTTTTCAAGTTAGAAAATAAATCAAAATAAATCAAATTTTTTCTCAAGAAGACATTGTGAAATTAATGGCAAATATAATACCATTGAGTCCAAAAATGAGATCTTAAATTTTACGAACTGATTTTTAAAATCCAGATTTGACTAACTATTTGCCGCATAATACAAAAATGGGTGGAGTTGGCATATGTTGAATGGTTAAATTAGACCTTTATAGGGAGGTGGATGTTGGGGGAACAAGGTAGGATGGGGGTTGGAGACGTATGACGTATATTTATAGAGGCGCCTTCGCTTTAAATGGATGGTATGACTTGTTGCCTGCCTGTAGCATGATGGGTTTGAGGTTTGGCGACTTGAAGATGGGATGATTGATGAAGGGCATCTTGTTCAGTGTGAGACAGGTCTTCAGCACCCGACCGAACATGAGGGAGAGGGGCAGAGACAGCACCCTGTACAGCCCTATGTTCGGCACCAGCTCCTCGTACGGTGGCGAGATAGGCACGTGCTGCTGCAGGCAGAGTACATGTCTGCACTTATCTGCTGCTGCTGACTGGCTAACAGCATCCTTCCACTTCATGTCTGAAATATGGCAATGCGAAAATTACCATAAAAATTACCAATCCTATTTTCCCTAAAATTATATTGCATAGGAACATATTTATATCTGAATGTATTGCACCATAATAATATCTATTTTAAGTCATTATTTTCAGGTGAAGCTAAACAATTTCCATTCCAGCAACATAATTTTATAAGGCGGGCGGAGAGGAATTACTTCTTTTTTGTGTGCCATCGTTAGGTCAATGCCGGAATGCTGATTGTGACACAATAGACAAGACTGACCTTGTTTGAGGTTGAGTTTGGTGCAGACGATTGTGAAGAAATCGGCGATGATGTTGGCAATTCCTATTCCGTCTACTAATGCATGTGACATCACAAAACACACACAGTATCTGAATCTGAATGACACAAAATCGCAATCGTCTGCTTCTGCCAAAATTACATCTGCATAATTCGCATTCGAGTCACAAATCGGCTCTATTTCACCAAAATAAAACCTCCATATCGGCTCACCATCTTTAATTCCCAACTTAACAATTTCATTAAACCTCTTTTGAGCTGCCAATTCGCTCAAAATTCCCAAATTTGCAGCAATGTACACCTGATTTTTGGGTAATCTCGCCCAATAAAATTTGCCCGTGTTCTCGTCTCGAACAGTGTTAACTTGAAGCATTTCGTACTTTTCTTGTAGCATTTCAAGGCACTCGGAAATTTCATGATAGCTCAGTGGCTCCTTGGTTCGAAACTGAAGCATGTCACCGACTGTAGAAATTCCAATGTCCATCGCTTGTTTCATCGTAAATTCACTTGAACTTAATTTTCGAACTTTGGTCAGCTGATCCACAGACTCATTAAGCTCAAAGCCTGTTAGATCATCTCTCAATTCTGATTGGTCGAGATTGGAGATTTTTCCTGAATAGTTTGTTTCACTCCTAGAGCATGATGACATCAGTTCGACTGGAGAAGGATGTCCTCCGTGTGAGATTGGTCTGAAGGGTGATGATGCCGAAGAAGTCTGACTTTCATTCGAATTACAAGTTCCCATGCCTGCACATGTATCGTGCGACCTTTGCGCATGTTTCATGTTTGGCTCCTTGCAAAATGGCTCGTTTGCCGAAGAAACACTAACACTAGCGCCACTTGCTGACATAACAGTAATGGAGTAAGTGTTAGAGGTGGAACTTCAGACAAGTTCGTATGCAGACCTGATAAGGTTATCGAAATCATTCATCTGATTGGCGACAAGTTTGAGTTGGCCCAAATCGGGTCAAGCAGGTCGTCAGCATGTTTGAATTAATCAGAGATGCAAATAAGGAACGACCCACTTGTTTTCAAAATGACCACTGCTGCATCCCAGGTAATCGAACGCTTGCCCTTTATAAGCAATATCTGCATCCGAATCTGGAAGAAATTGACCGGTAAAATCTAAATGAGTACAAATGCAGTAGAGATACTCTTCGCTATTAAAATAACTCACTTAAATCGAATGCTAGGGCACTCCTGCAAAATATAAACGAAAATGGAAAAAAAATTAAACATTTTAGAAAAACCCTTTTAGGAGAAAGATATTAAATTTTAACCCTCAGCCATCCAACTAAGAAAAAGATTCGCTTTGAAAACCTATTTTTAAAATGGGTCACAGCTATACTAGTGCATCAGACAACAACACACTGGAGCGGCAGCAAATGGAGATCATAAAAGTGCCCGAAAACTTTTATCGCATATGGGGGTGATATAATCTCAAACAGCAACAAGTTTAATCACGAACTCAACGCAGGACGCTCAGAATATCAACAATTAGTTCAGTAAACTGAAGGAAACAGTCAGGAATCAATTAAATCTGTTAGATCATTGCTCAACAATTAGATCATTGCAGCAAGTTTACAATTGGTGCAAGACAAAAAGGCAACCGAACTGTCCTTGCTATTCCGGTCGGCGAAACCGCAATTTCTAAACAGAATTAAGCAAAGGTATCCCTGTCCATTGTCGCAGATGACCTTCAATGCGAAATACCGGATCGTTTTCAGCTACAATCTTGAAAAACTAGACAAGCTCACGGGTTTTTCCAAAAAACTTAAATTAAATGGAAATGATTGACAGAAAACACTCTTTCTGAATTCTTGATGATACCATTAACATCAAGATGAAACTATCGAAAAACAAAAATGCCAAAGAAATTCATTTAAAAAATCAACCATTTTTTTGGAAATACAAAAAAAACGAGAAATACAACAAATAGGCAAAATAGGAAAGATCAAGCAAACCTTTAGTATTTTCCAAACGTCCATGAAGCCAAATGGGAGTAGACGCCAATTGATCCGAAAACTAAAAATACTAAGAAAGATGGTTGTCATAAAATATGCAACAGTTTTTTGAAATACGAAAAAATCAATATCAGAAAATAAGACGAGAAACACAAGCTTTAGCATTAAGCAAACTTTTATTATTTTCCGAGCGTCCACTAAGTCAACCACACTTAATAAGACGCCAATTGATCCGAAAACGAAAGCACCAAAAGAAATCGTTGTCATACAAAAATCAGCAGTTTTTTTTAGAAATACGAAAAAATTCATCTGAGAAAAACAGACGAGACAACAATAATTGGCTTGAAGCAAGCTTTTAACACTTTTCGAGCGTCCACTTAGACAACAACAAATTGTTCGATGCCATTTGATGTGAAAAAAAAATACCAAAGGAAAGTTTCATAAGAAAAATCAACAATTTTCTTGGAAATAAGAAAAACTCTATCTCAGAAAAAGAGACGAGAAACACAACCACCACCAGTAAGCAAGCTTTAAGTAATTTCTGAGCATCCACCAAGCCAACAACATGCGGTTAGACGCCAACTGATCCGAAAACAAAAATGCCAAAGAAATAGTCATAAAAAAACCAACAACTTTTTTGGAAATACGAAAAATCAATATAAAAAAACAGACCAGAAATACAACAACTAGTTTTAAGCAAGATTTTATTATTTTCTCAGCGTCCAAAATGCCAACCACATGTGAAAGGGCGCCAATTGACCCAAAAAAATCACAAAGGAAATGGTTCTCATAAAATATTCAAAATTTTTTTTGAGAAATACGAAAAATTCATTATTAGAAAAACAGACGAGAAACACAACCATTTAAATTCAGCAAGCTTTTTGAGCGTCCATTCTGCAGACCACGCGTGCTAAACGCCAATTGATTCAAAAACAAAAAAAAAACAAAAGAAATTATTGTCATAAAAAGACAGCAAATTTTTTGAAAATACCAAAAACTCCAACTCAGAAAAACAGAAGCTTATCAACTAGCTTTGAGCAAAATTTTAGTATTTGCGAGCATCTACTAAGCCAAAACACGTGGTTAGATGCCACATGATCCGAAAAAAAACATACCGAAGAAATGGTTTTCATTAAAAAACAACCTTTTTTTGGAATTATGAAAAATCCAATCTCAGAAAAACAGCCACTAGCATTAAGCAACCTTTAGAACTTTTCAAGCTTTCATTTATCGAACAATGCGTGGTTAGAGGCCAATTAAAACAAAAACATTTGCCAAAAGAAATAGTTGTCATAAAAAATTTTTTGAGCGATTAAAAAATTGAACTTTTTTCTCATTTTCTCTCTTTTTACCGATGCAAAAGAAGTTCACTAAACCAACAAAACAAGAGCCAAAATCATTTACGCCAAATGAAATGTCTAAGCGAAAAAAAAAACAATAAAAAATCGGCAAATATACCAATCGGGTATATTAAATTGGATAAGGTGCAGGAGTTAATCAACATCACTTGAAACTACAATGAAAACTGATTTAAGCCCAAAAAATTGTTGGTGGGCAACTAAATTGACAAAACATAAGCCAACAAACTAAAATCCGACTAATCAATTTTTCCCAGAAAAAAAGTTCAATTTGAGACACTAAAAATGCAAGATAATGCAAAGGCAACTGCATTATCTCCAGAACAAGTGCGATGAATTAACGTCTGTCTTTTGATTTGATACGAACCAAAGGGAATGTGATTCAAAAGATTTTGTTGAACTAGTTTTTTAGCGCAAAAGGAGGAAATTCGTTACTAGTCCAAGGTTACTTAACCATTGATTTAGTTCTTTATAGGGGTGACCATCTTTACTAGGTACCATACGGGTAAAATTTGAAGATACAAGTCTTAACTGTTGTTTTTCAAAGCTTTTTTGCGATTGATTAAATTGAGATGTCAAAAATTTAAAACAGATAAAACCGCAAAAAATAACAAATCCAAATCAGTAGTGCTCAATTCTAAACAAATGTTTTGTTGACTTGGTAACCATTTTGAATTAAGATAAAAATATTCGAAATGTTTGCTAACTGGTATAAATGGCCATGACAATGATAAGACATGCCTGCCACTTTGCTCGAATAAGTTGAGATATATTTGGTGCAACAACAGAGTACAGAAAGAGGAACAGGCGAAGGAGAGAAGAACACTGAGCACGTTTCATAAAATAAAACAACCACTTGGCTTCCATGTCAATAATTTTATCGTAAATGGGAATGTGTGGAAAATGTGCAGTTTATAACAGGAAGAAAAGCGATCAAGTGAAGAATGAAGCAAGGAATAAACTAAAAGGAAACAACTTTTAACCGTCAGAAGAAACAGAAAGGTTGGAAAAGAGGGCAGAAAAGAAGTCAAATTAGTAGCGCGTATTAAGCAGAGGTGGAATTTGGTCTGTTGCGCCTATTGTGAGTGGTAGCAATTCCATATGCCACCCACAGTGAGTAGAGAGAGAGAGAGAGAGGCAGTTGCTCTGCAGTTCAGCACTACTGCCAAGTCCCATTTGCCTCACTCCATTTCATACAGTTGGATTGTACCATCCGCCAAATAAGTTTCCTCATAACATAATAGCCCACTTAGAGGCCACATTTCACATGCTTGTACCTTTTCTACTGTTGCACAAGTGCCACCTTCCATATCGTAATCTTGAATAAAAACTCTGATTAAAAAGAATAACGCAGAGCACAAATACTTAGCAAGTTAAATTATGTCACGGTTTACTGTACACTTAGTGGCCTTTATGCTGGATGAACATAGACTTTGACTCCTCCTCTTCTGGTCACATTTGATCAGAGAGTTCTCTGCCACTCATGCTACCCAGCAGAGAGCGCAGATCACACGAAGAAACCAGCCAATCCTTTTGTTCTATCTTTATTCTCAGTCTCCAAGTGTAAACTTGATATTTTGAACACCCAACAATTCAGTCATATATAACATAGGAAGAAAAACTCAAAAGTTAAAACGATTATTTCATACAAAAAAATTGCTCTATTGAAGCAATCAATAGCAGCTATAATAACTTAGAAAGATTTTCAAACTAACTCTCCGATTTCAAACTATGTTTCGCCTATTTCTACACAGAGGCGAAGCCGAACTTCGCATCACTTGCGATGCAAAAAAAATCATAAAAAACAAGCCGAAAAAAATGAAAAATGTTGAAAAAAAATAGCCGAACCTAAATTTTCGAATGTCTCGATGAAGGACACCTAAAGCCCAGCTAAACCATGAAGAACGTGTTTGATAACTTTTGAACATGTTATGTTGATTCAGGAGGAAATATGTGATTTCAAAACTGGACTTTGCCCAAAACCTTTGTTGTTTCTCTACTGCAATAAGAAGAATAAAAAATTTCACCCAAAGACACTTTTCTCTTATTAAAAATTAAGGAGTAGCAGCTTCTTCGGGAAAATTCACGCAACCGCTTCGATTGAAATTTTCATGCCAGATTTGTAGGGTAGTTTTTAAGAAAAATCAAAAAGTTTCTAAAACACGGTCAAAGTTCAAAAACTTGAATTTCCGAAATGCGCTAACTTTCCCTGCTAAAAGCAGGTAGTGGCCGGTGAAGGAGAATAGATTCTCAAAATCAGGTTTCTCGATTGAACACTTAACCTAAGAATTGGCACAGTGATTTTCGAGAAAAGAAAAAAAAACGGTCAAAGTTTCAAAACTTTCACTTGTTTGAAGACCATAATTAGAGAAAAAAACTCGGCCTAGCAATTTATAAAATTAAAATTTTAATAATCTGTTGTGTCGATTAAACCTATGATATCAGATATGGCCGGATAGTTATCGAGAAAGGTCCAAAAAACGGTCAACAAATCAGATAGTTTACATTTCCGTAAATCATAGCTTTTTGTTCAAAAAAATGGGGCTTAGCTGCGTATGCAGAAGGGAATCAACCAACCTATAATTTCGATAGAGCCCAAAAACCCAGGTTTGGCAGCGTATTCTCGAGATAAGTCAAATAGATTCAATAAACGGTCAAAAAATCACAATTTTGATTTTTCCGAGGGCCATAAATTTTTGTTTCAAAAACACTTGGGGTTAGTCGGGTATGCAAAGAAGATTTCCACAACTCGTTCTTTGGATTGAACTCAAAACCCAGATGTGAGAAAACATGTTTCATAAAATTTAGAAACAAAACGCTCAAAAAAATCAAAAAGTATAACATGAAAACAGATTTACATACTAAATTATTTGTCTAATTGACGATAAGCACAACTTACAGTAACAAGCAGACCAGCATTTTAAGGATTTTTACCTAGATTTATCCATTGAGCAATTAAAATATTGCAGCAGAATTGCCAAATATGTCTATAAAAATAGCTCATTTAGAAATGTCGTATATATACCACTTTTGTCAAAACTTTCCATTGAAAAATGAAAACTATGAAAAACAAATACAATATATTTTAGCCGCTTCGCTTGTGTAAGCAATAGTACACTATTTTGACATGTTTCATTTCTTCCAAATTTTAAAAGATAATATTTTACTCATGAAACAAATAATTATTTGGAAACTTTAATTCACCTGGGCAGAGCAACAGAATACTCTTGATAACACTAAAAATAATAGAAAACATTGAATTAAGATTAAAACCTGTAAGTGAACCGTTGGTTTTTCTGCAACCCATGGTCTCTTAAAAAACATGATCGATCTCAACTCAGACTTCTTTATATGGCAAAACAAGCAGACAGATAGAAGCGCAAAACAGTATGACAAATACTTACTTATAAGGATACGGGAATTAATTTTTTGAAATAAAAACTGTTCGGATCA